TCACAGGCAGAGGGGAGGATTTTGTGTGGGAGTGTCTGTGTGTATTGTACGGATTGATTGGCTGTGTTTCATAACCCTGTGGGCAGTACTATATTTGTGGATTGTGAATAAAAGAGGCTGTATGTGCCAGTCCAGTCAGTTCTGCTTGACCTCAAAACGTGTCGTCTCGTTATTGGGGGAATTGGATTGTATGCTGATTGCCAGGAGTGTAAGCTGATTGTATGTTTTTCCTGTTCAGTTGTTTACAGCATTCATATGCTTGAGAGCATTTGTATGCTTCTCCGGTTCAGTGGTTGTGGTGTCTGCTGCAGTGCTTGAAGTCCTCAGGAAGCGCTAGGAGCATCCTCCAACGGGGTGCCCGTCGATCCGTTACACCTCCTTCACCGGACACTGCTGTTAGGGGGTATAGATTCACTTGGAAAATGAAAGCCAGAGATTAGCATAGGATATGTATTTTCTTATAGCTATAACCTATGAGTTTCCCTCCAGCACCACCTCCACCAGATAAATTTATATTTGGGAGGTATAACTTTTTGTGTTTAGTGTTTTCTGTTGATTAGATTCTGTAATACAGCCCATCATAATTTAAAGAACTCCAGCATTACGTTTTTGACTTCTTCATTTTTTATCTCTTCTGGGATGCCCCTTACTCTGATGTTGTTTCTCCTTGGGCCTGGTGCTGATACTGGAGGACAGTTCAATAGGCTCTTAATCCAGCCCTGCCTGTGAACAAACCTTTGCTTCTAATGTACTTCCAAACCTTTGCTATCAGTGTATATCTCATCTTAATTTTTTGCATTGGAGAAATAGTCATTGTTGAATAAATTTATTACAGTATAGTGATTCTGTACTCCACTTCAAACTGCAATCCTGTAGACCTGTATAATTGTATTGAATTTAAAGTTGATTAGGCTCCAAACTCTATCTGAGAAACCTCTGAAAAAGTCACGCTTGTCGAGTGAAAAAGGCAAAAATGCTTTCCAAAGAAAAGGGAATGTTGAGGCAAAAAAACCCTCAGGGTATCAAGCTTTCAAACTTCCAAACCAAAATTTACCCATCTAATTAAAGGAAGGAGACAAGATGACCTGACCTACATGAATATGGCGTCCAAAAAAAAAAAAAATACCTAAAAAAAAATACTCAAAAAGGCAAAGAAGATGGAGGTAAAACAAAATAAGTAAATATGATCCTATTGTTTATCACCCCCCCCCACCCCCTGCCAATGGATTAAACAAAGGGGGAAATAAAGGAAATGGCAAAAAAAAAGACAAGGAAGAAACAGGTGATTATCCCATAAAGTCCAAACTTCATACTGGATCAGTTTAAATATTTTTTGATCAAAAAAGTATGCTTAGACCTAGTGAAAGAATTAAGAGAAAAAAATACATATCCTTCACCAGTAAGTAAATGAAAATGCTGCCATAATTGAGTTGTTAAGATTTAAAAACTATTAACCGCAAGATTCTCTTAAAGAATTAAAACCAAAATATGAAGAACTTCAAAGGAAAACAACAGATCTTAAGGACCATTCAAGGAGAAACACGAGTGTAAGGGTCCTCCCAGAATAGATAAAGAATGACGAATCAGAAACTTCATGATTGGGTTCTGTGGAGAGATAACAGGGGTATTGGGGCTGATGTGTACTATGGTCACTGCTGCCGCCCAGGTGTAGTGGGAGTTTAAGCGCAGGATTTATTTTTTGTATATTTGCTTTTTGTTTTTTATTTATATTTTTTTGCCTGAAGCTGAAGCATGCAAGGTGAATTGTTAGTGTAGGACCCACACAATAATATATTTCATTAAAATACAAATTGTAAATAAGTCATTAAAATGGCAGAGCTTAAATTCACTGGTTAGACCATGAGGTAGTAAAGTATTTAAATAAAAAAATCCACCTCATTTCTGATTGGCCTATTTATCTTATTAGATCTACACCCCTCCAATTTTGTTGTGTGTTTAAATACCCAATGAATTGGATGTTTGTAGGATCTTTGTTTAATTTTGAAAAATACAAATAAATTGTTCCTCAAATGCATTTTTATGTTCTGAACATGTTCCTGTATTCTTACATGCTTCCAAAATCAAGGCATATTATTATTTTATTTTTTAACAATCTTTGCAATGCTAATATAATGCTAAGAGGCAGATGTGAGAACTAATTGATTTCTCCCCTCCTACAAGGTGGTAATCAATGAAGTATAATGTAGGTAAGTAAGGCTTTATGGACTTAATTTCATTTTAAAATAAAAAAAAAGTGCCATTGTCATGCCTGGAACATGCAGGAATATTGACAGTATTGGAGAATTGCAAAGGAAGTCTACCAATGAAAATTATTAATATATAGAGTTTATAGTTGTGACAGTATCCATATCAAATCTACTTATACAGTAAAGAATTGGACGTTTCTCTTTAACAATATCTATTCCTAGCCAGAAAGGTTAGAAGCAGAAGAAAGCTAAAACCAGCGATCCTTTGGTCCGGACGTATGGTCATAAACAAGCCTAATGGCACAACACACACTCGGACAGATGTTGGAGAAAAGATAACTTGTATGTTTTCTCATCTTTTCCCTCACCCTAAAGGTACTCTCCAAAAAAGCTTATTGGCATCTGCCAGGAATGCAGAAACAGTTCTTCAGCACAGTTGAAATATAAGTATAAGATTGGAAAAGATAAATGTTGTGCTCATAAGCATGTATACATGTATTTGACAAAAAATATATTTTGGGCACTTAATATTTTTCAAAGATAATTATCTATCCCAATTTTTTGTTTTGTTTTGCTTTTTTGTAATTTCTGGTCTTACATGAAACTGTCTTTCTTACTTTGTTAAACGGACACCGTAGGCACCCAGACCACTTCAGCTCATTGAAGTGGTCTGTGTCCCTTTTGTATTTACATTGCAGCTCTAAATCTGCCTTCAGTGTCTGTCTATCAGACAGGCACTAGAAGTCTTCCGGAATCGTAACAGACTTTTGGTCTGTTATCTGACAGTGGACGTCCTCACGCTCTGCAGGAAGACCTCAAGCGTCAGATTTTTCCCCACAGAAAAGCATTAATTTAATGCTTTCCTTTGGGGAGCTCTAATGCACGTGCAAGACAGAGGAGGAGCTTCGATCCAGCGGCAAGGGACATCGGAGTTGGGATCAGGTAAGTAAATGGTTTTTAACTTTTTATTTACCAGCCATGAGAGGGGGAGTCAGAGGGATCGGTAGTGCCAGGAATACAGCTTTTTATCCTTTTAAACAATAGATCAATTAGAGTGACAAATTTTCTGTAACTTCCAATGCATTTCTTTTAGGTGTTTCCATCAGCAGAATTGATCCTGAAGAACAGAAATGCATTAAGCAAGAGTTTGAAGAAATCTTTTACCGAACAAGCATTCCAACTCTCAGACTCCTATGTCTGCAACTGAGATAGTAAATGGAAAAAAATCCCATGTACTGAATGTGGGAAATGTTTTAGATATTATTCAAAAGTTCATTTCAGGACTTGCACATGAGCAACAACCTTTCTAATGTTTTAAATGTGAGAATTGTTTTACCCATCACTCAGCACTTATTAGGCATCAAAGAATTCACACAGCAGAAATGTTCTCTTGTTCTGAATGTGGGAAATGCTTTAACCAAAATACAAACCTTATTACACATCAAAAAACTCACAAAGGAGAGAAGCCGTTCTTGTGTTCTGGATGTGGGAAATGTTTTAGCCACCATTCAAAACTTGTTGAACATAAGAGAATTCACACAGGAGAAAAGCCATTCTCCTGTTCTGAATGTGGTAAATGTTTTAGGCAGAATAAATACCTTGTTATACATCAGAGAACTCACACAGGAGAGAAGCCATTCTTATGTTCTGAATGTGGGAAATGTTTCCGGCACAATACACACCTTCTTATACATCAAAGAACTCACACAGGAGAGAAGCCTTTCTCATGTTCTGAATGTGGGAAATGTTTTAGCCAGCATATAAAACTTGTTGAACATCAGAGAACTCACACAGGAGAGAAGCCTTTCTCATGTTCTGAATGTGGGAAATGTTTTAGCCAGAATACATACCTTGTTGTACATCAGAGAACTCACACAGGAGAGAAGCCTTTCTCATGTTCTGAATGTGGGAAATGTTTTGTCACTAAATCAAAGCTGGTTACACATCAGAGAATTCACACAGGAGAGAGGCCATTCTCATGTACTGAATGTGGGAAATGTTTTACCAGTCACTCGAATCTTGTGTGCCATCATAGAACTCACACAGGAGAGAAGCCGTTCTCGTGTTCTGAATGTGAGAAATGTTTTTGCCAGCATAAATACCTTGTTGAACATCAGAGAATGCACACAGGAGAAAAGCCGTTTTCATGTTCTAAATGTGGAAAATGTTATAGCCAGCAGTCACATCTTGTTAGACATCAGAGAACTCACACAAAATAGAAATTTTCTGATGTTGTGAATGTGTGGAATTTTATAGGGTCTTATGAGGCATCCGTGTATTAACATGGGAATAAAGTATCTTGTATTGAGAATGTGAGACATTGTAGAACTGTAATTTAAATTTCTTTCTCCATCCAGCATCTCACATTCTAGCAAAATTAATTTCATGCTGACACTATAAATAATAGCTGTAAAGTATATCCGGTGTAAATGTTGTCTTTGATTTCATAAAATGGCATGGGCATTCAGGACATTAGAGCGTACTGGATGTGCACCTTCCGCTCCCTCCCCGTCCCCTCAAGTGATTTCTTGACAATCTGATCGGGAGTACTGTTTGGCAATCCAGGTAGTCCCCAAGCAGCAAATTGGATGTGACCAGAGTGACGTGATTGTGGTCATATCACATGCGTGATTGTGGTCATATCACATGCAATTATTTGTATCCTGGACTGTGACATGGTATTTTGACTCTCTCTTTCCCCACTTTAATCTGAGATGAGTGCGGCAAAAAGTTAATTGTTGGCTGTGTTCCAAGTGTTCGTGTTTGTAATTTTCCTACTGCTCTATTACATTGTCTGCCTACATTTAAGTCATCAGAAATAATCACCCCTAAATCCCTTTCCTCAGATGTTGAGGTTAGAACTTGCAATTATCCACATTGTTAGTTGCCACAACTCTGACCATTTTTCTAGTTTACCTAAATCATTTGTCATTTGGATTATCCCTTCTGGAACATCAACCCTGTTACATATCTTAGTGTCATCAGCAAAAAGACATACCTTACCATCAACACCTTCTGCAATATCACTAATAAAAATGGGTCCAAGTACAGATCCCTGAGGTACCCCACTGGTGACAAGCCCATGCTTTGAATATACTCCATTGACTATAACCTTCTGTTGTCTGTCACTCAGCCACTGCCTTACCCATTCAGCTTTATTGGAATCCAAACTTAAAGATTGCAGTTTATTGATAAGACTTCTATGTGCAACAGTGTCATTTTTGCAAACCCCAAAAAGTACCCCAAAATACAACATATCCCCACAAAAGTCATCCCCTGATAGCCCCGATCTGGGTGAACAACATATCCAAAAATCACCCAGATCGGGGCTATCAGGGGATGACTTTTGTGGGCATATGTTGTATTTTGTTGTATTATTATGTTCAGGGGTTCAGGGGTTCAGGAATTTCCTGGAAGCTTTGTCTCATTCTTGGGGGGATTTATTGTATGCTGTTCCAGTTCGACTGCTAAGAGTGTAAACCTATTCGTATGGTTTTTCCTATTCGGCTGTTTACGGCATTCATATGGTTTCCATACACTCAACAACAAAACACTGCTGGACAATTTAAGATGGCTGCCGCCACATGTTTGAAAGGGGAATTGTGCTAAGTTCCAATATGCACAAATAGTGTTTTTAAAAGGCAATATACCCCAGGGACCATAGTCACAGTGCAAGAGGCTGACAAGCAGGCCTCTCCAAAACCCAGTGGCGAGGTTACTTTCGCCACAATACCTCTGGCAAAAATATCTGCATAGATGAGTCAAATTTAAGATTCAGGAGAAGACTGCTTTTCAAGCAGTACGTCCCATCCAAGCTGACTTTTGGTACAAAATTGTAGCTGTGCAAATGCAATACTGGGTATTGATGCAGAAAGTCAACTAGATCCACAAAGCTGCTTTGATTCTGTGGGGACAATTGGAAAAATTGTATGGGAACTCCTACTACCATAAATAAATAAAGAATATCACCTATGCCTAGATAATGTTTATGCTAGTATACATTTATTTAAAGGGACTGCATAGTCATTAGAAAAAGGGTTGGTGACCTAAACAGTTATTTTAGCTGATGTGAGGAATACACGTTTGTGATCTTTTAACCCCTTAAGAACGGCGGGCTTTCTATGCCGTCCTTTTTTAAGCGGTCCTAAACTTACCGGGTCCCTGCCGTTCCTCCGACTGCAGTCGTGATCCTGGGGTCTGCCCGATCCGCTCCCCCCCCCCGGCCATTTGATCGTGGGGTTCACGCGATCACATGGTCCCGAAGAGCCGGCTTATGCAGTGCCTGCAGGGGGACTGCCTGAGCTTTCAGTCTGTCCCACTCATGCCTGTAAAGAAGTTTGTAAAAGTTATAAAACTGTTTTTAAATTAAATAAAAAGTGTGTGTGTGTATATATATATAATATATGTATACTTTTATATACACATACATACATCATTAATAAATGTATATTTTAATATATATAATTATATATATTAATATTAAAATACACTTGGAATGATGTTAAATATATATATATATATATATATATATATAGTAGTGGATGCATGGAATAGCCTTCCAGCTGAAGTGGTAGAGGTTAACACAGTGAGGGAGTTTAAGCATGCGTGGGATAGGCATAAGGCTATCCTAGCTATAAGATAAGGCCAGGAACGAATTAAAAGTATTTGAAATATTGGGCAGACTAGATGAGCCAAATGGTTATCTGCTTTATTTATAAAATAAATAAGTAGAAAAAAAATATAAAAATAAATGTAATATATATATATGTATTAAGGCAATTTGCCTGCATTTGTGGGAGGTGCTGGTTTTCTACCCCTAGCCTACTTAAGGCACTCCCCTTGCCTGGCTCCTTACCGATCGAGGTCAGCGTTGAATGAGGATCCACTTCCGGGTTCTCTCAGACGCCATCTTGGTTTCAGTATCCAGGAGGTTTCACCACGTTAAGCTGTGTCCAGGAATCCTGTTCAGGCCTTTCCGCCCGTCCAGCTTCTTCTGACTCCGTTCTCCGTCGTAGATCGCGTCCCAGGGACTCCTAAACCGTAAGTCAGACCTTCCTGTCACGCCAGGACTGGTTCCCACGGCGTACGGTACAGCACGGGTCCTCGCTTTACGGCTTTTCCCTGGTTATGACACGAATGTTTCAAGCCATTCGCGGGCTTTTCATTCGTACGGTCATTCGGCTGAACATGTTTTAAATCGTTCAATAGTCATTTCGCATATCCTATTCATGTTATTTAAACGAATGTTCATTCGGTTGTTTTGCCGTTCGGCAAATTTTACATACGCTCATACACGCTTTGGTTCGCATAAATCATACGGTTAAACTATTCTAACTTCTGTGTTCCCCTCACATTTGCTTTCGGCTGTTCTGTGTGTTCACGTATAATCCTTTCATGAATTATATTCACCATTTCATGTGTATATAACATTCGGTTAAAGTATTGCTTGCTTAAATAGATTATTGTTGATTACTTTTAACAAATTGTCAGTATTGTATTACGTCCACAAATCAAGTCCACTTCTCTGTGTATACCATTTGACTCCCACGCTTTCAGGGGTCTGCATTACTTATCCATTTATACGAATGGACTCAGCCTATGTTACAAGCCTCATTTCTGGGTTATTAATACAACATATACAAGGATAGGTTCATTTAAGCAATAATTCTCGGGTTGATACGTCTTTGCTATATACATATCATATAGATATACATCACTTTACATCATGTTAAATCATTTTGGGGTATCCCTGCCTTTGGTCTTTCTGCTACATATCATACATAACGCTGTGTTAATTAGGCCATGACCTCATCCATGTCCCTTTCTATAAAACCAGTTACATTTCGGTACAGATCATTGAACTCCCACGCCAGGAGTTTTATAACTATCCATTTCATTTCAATTTACTCAGCCTACATTACAGGCCTCATTTCTCTGTCATGACGATGACACATAAGGCTTAAATCCTTTTGCATGCATACTCGGGTTGAATCACACGTACTGATCCAACCAATCATACGTCCCCTACACAGTCATATACATATGTATATAACCTACGTTTCATGTTTTCCTTTACACACCATTATCACGTAACACATAGATTGTTTGTACATAGGCCACGGCCTCCCTCAGATGTCTTATTCAAGCATGCAAACATTTCTGAGCCACTCATAGCTATTCCCATGGTATCAACATAATTTTATACATTGCTGCTACAGACTATAAGTCTGGTTCTTTTTACACCCCACACTCATCGTACTACTCTCTTTTACCCATTTTTAGGCTGTCGAGCTTATATAATTGCTCCACACGGTTTATTCCTGTGATTTATCAAGCTACCAGGTACGTACACCTGCTCATATGGTATTCTACCATACATTTCATTTCATCCCCCTAGTTTAGAGTACTGGCAATAGGGTCACAGGATTCCCAATAGGTATTTACCCCATCTTGGCTGTCGCCATTAGTTAGTGGTCCCGCGAGGCCAACACCCCGCCTCAAACGTTTCGGAGGCAAACACCCATTGGGCCACACGTTAGCCGGGGAAGGATCTAGCCAGTCCAACCCAGGGGACATACATGCCATGTTATCCTCACTCATGGCATCCATGGGCAAGGTCAACTCCAGGCTGGAGAAACTTGAGTCGGTCACCACGGCCCTCACTCTAGCAGGGCCAACCGCGGCTGCAGTACAAACACCAGCCTTGCCATTAGTCGCTCCAGCCAGCCCCCTGGATGACCAGGAAGTTAGCCCGGCCCACATGATACCTGAGCATATCAAAAGGGATATCCTGGAAGGTAAAGACGTCAACCTGGCTTCCCTGTTGATTGCCTCCCAGGACATTGTGGAACATAAGACGTATGCTTATGATGATGTTTCTGTTATTGTCAGATCTAGGGATGCCCGCCTGAACAGGAAACTGACTATCCCTGAATTTGTACTAGCGTTTGGTATTTACAGGGATGTCGTCTGTGCGGTTTATCCCAACAGAAGAGAGGAGTTTGATCTCTATATGCACAAGCTGGTAGACCTGGGCAACAAATATGGTGGTTCAGCATTCTATGACTACCATAGGTCTTTTTCTGCAAAAGTGGCTGGAGCCTTCTCCCAGTACGGTACACGATCCAACTGGGGAAGGATTGATACCGTCTTATTCTGCAGACACTTTGCAGGTCTAAGAACACCAGCTTGTGCATACTGCTCCTCCACAGCCCATACTACAAATTTTTGTCCCAACACGGCAGACGGACATGCCTCCACACAAGGAACTAGTTCCTCTGGGGATCCAGGGAAACTATCCAAAGACAAATTGGGACGCCCAATCAAGTTTCTGGGCAAGTCCCAGATATGTAATAATTTCAATGTTGGGTCTTGTAATTACAGTGGATGTAGACTATTGCATGTCTGTTCAAAATGTTTTAGGGCACATGCTAAGACCATGTGTCCAAATAAAATGTATTCTAAGCCTTACCTTACGTCCATTAATATGCCAGTATTCACAGCATTGATGTCTCAGCACCCATCTAGACACCTGGTAGATTTTCTTATTTCTGGTTTAACAGAAGGCTTCCACACAGGTATCCTACACATACCAGCTGGCACTCTGGAATGCCCAAACCTACAATCCGCCCAACACAACCCCACAGTGGTTGACACCCTCATAAACCAAGAAGTGGAGGAGGGCTTTGTATTGGGGCCTTTTAGAACTCCCCCATTCACAGAATGGCGCACCAACCCTATTGGTATTGTCACAGGGAAATCTTCCCAAAAACAGAGACTCATCATTGACTTATCGGCTCCCCACTCATCGGCCAACCCCAGTCTTAATTCCCTCATACCCTCTGAGGAATTCTCTCTGCAATACACCACCATAGATCACGCCATTACAGCCATCATACAAGCAGGGGTGGGAGCCTGGCTCAGTAAGACCGACATTACTAACGCCTTCAAATTACTCCCTATCCACCCCACACTGTGGCACCTGCATGGCATCAAGTGGTCCGAGAACTACTATTTTTTCTCCCGGTTAACTTTTGGGTCCAAAAGTAGCCCAGCTATTTTCGACACATTTGCCGAAGCACTATGCTGGTTACTATTGAACATAGCCGGATGCCCTACAGTATTACATTACTTGGACGATTTCCTACTGGTCGAGGAGAATACTGCACCTCCCACTAGCCTCAAAGCTACCACTAAGCTGTTTGAGCAACTAGGTGTACCTATCTCCCCAAAGAAAACAGAAGGGCCAGACACGGTTATCACTTTTCTGGGTATCCAGTTAGACTCTGCCACAATGCAAGCAAGCCTACCTTACGAAAAGATAGACAATATTCTCACTTACATAAACAACTACCTACAGCTCGGCACTTGCAACCGCAAAGAACTACAGTCCCTGCTGGGGTCACCAAATTTTGCAATGCGCATCATACCTCAAGGCCGCTCCTTTATTTCACGACTATTGCATCTTTTCCCACTTTTTCTACATGACACGCACAGGTTGTCCTTAGATGCCCAAGCTATGGCAGATCTAAACATGTGGAAGAGGTTTTTAACCACTTGAAATGGTAAAAGTATGTTCCTCCCTCAATTGACTGAATCATCTCCTACCATTTGGTCAGATGCGGCATCTACCACTGGTTTTGCAGCAATTTTTGGGAACGAATGGCTTTGGGGCAGCTGGCCTTCTGCAGTTCTGGATTTGGAAGGTTTTTCCACTACCTCAGCTCTTTTGAAGATCTACCCCATAGTGGCGGCTGCCGTAGCGTGGGGTCATTTATGGGCTAATACGCCAGTGCGTTGTTACTCAGACAACCAGGCAACCTGTCACATCATCAACAAAGGTCGTTCCAAATCTCTTACGATTATGAGATTTCTGAGGAAACTCACTTGGTTGGCAGCTTGTCATAATTTCTTCCTATGTTGTTTCCATGTGCCAGGTGTATACAACACAGCTGCTGACAGTTTGTCTCGCTTTAAATTTCAGGAGTTTCATCAAGCACTCCCGTCAGCAGCACCCACAGCCACCATCACTCCAACATTTCAACAACTCATACTGACTAGACGTCATCATGCAGCATAGCAGGACATTGTCTCAGTTGGCACTTTCACACAATACAAACAAAACATACAACAGGGCTTTCACACTATTCAAACGATTCCTTCTGGAACATAACATCATACAACCATTTGTTATGACATCTTTTTGCGGTTTGCTTCCTTTTGCCACCTTAAACTCAAATTGTCATATAACACCATCAAACTCTATCTCACTGGCATTCAACACCACATGCTCATCTTACACCCAAATAACAACAGTTTCATGGCCTCTCACCAAATCAAGACCATACTCAGAGGTATTCAAAAATCAGAACCCACACATTTGGCCCAGAGGCTACCCATAGATAACCATATCTTCAAAGCTTTATCTAACCTACTCGACCTGAAACCATTTGAAACTAATACGAATTCTATCATCAAAACAGCAATATACATCGCTTTCTATGGATTTCTACGACCCAGAGAATTCACTACGACCTCCACGACCCAAACCACTCCATTCCTCCTCTATTCCCACTTGACAAAACATATGGATCATTACATCCTGTCTTTACCCCACTCCAAAACCAGCCAACACATACCTGTAAACATTCCGTACTACCCCACGCACAACAGATGGTGTCCCGTAAAAGTTCTTGATGCCTACATACAGCACCATCACTTACTGCCCTCGCAACCGTTATTACAACTACAAGGTGCAGTACTCACCACTACAACCTTCATGACCTACGCCAGGTCCTTGCTCACACAACTGGGCCTCAACGCAAACAATTACTCAGGACACTCCTTTCGTATAGGAGCCGCGTCCACAGCCTCCAGTTTCAACGTCCCAACTCATGTTATCAAAACACTGGGGCGCTGGAAGTCATCCGCTTACTCACGGTACATACCGAACCCAGTACAAGAGTTAAGAGATGCTTTCATAAACATGTCTGTTTGATAAATGTATATGTATTGGTTGTCTGTTAATAAATTGGATTACTTAATTTTTGCCCTCTTCTTTCTCAGGCCTACCTCATCGTCGGTTTCGGCACACCACAACCGACTTGCTCCTTTTATCATCCTACGCTTATTCATGGTATTTCACACTGTACTATCTTAATCACCTAACACAAGTATTAAGGCAATTTGCCTGCATTTGTGGGAGGTGCTGGTTTTCTACCCCTAGCCTACTTAAGGCACTCCCCTTGCCTGGCTCCTTACCGTTCGAGGTCAGCGTTGAATGACCCTCCCACCACACCACTTTTAACATTTATTTCCTTTCTATTTCTTTTTCCTGGGTGGGCCCTCTTCTTTCTCAGGCCTACCTCATCGTCGGTTTCGGCACACCACAACCGACTTGCTCCTTTTATCATCCTACGCTTATTCATGGTATTTCACACTGTACTATCTTAAGCACCTAACACAAATATATATATATATATATTTTTTTTTTATATATAATATTTTTACATAATCATATTTAACTGTGTAACATTCCAGGACACCATAAAACCTGTACATGGTACTGTTTTATTCGTGACACTTTGCTGAACACAAATATTGTTTTTTAACCCCTTAAGGACACATGACATGTGTGACATGTCATGATTCCCTTTTATTCCAGAAGTTTGGTCCTTAAGGGGTTAAAAACAGTAAAATATATTGTGTTGAAAGTAACCTCGCCATTGGTTTTTGAAACGGCCTGTTTGCTAGCCTCCTACCCTGAGACTATTGCCCCTGCAATAGACCTGGCTAAAAATACTTTAATCCCTTAAGGACGGAGCCAAATGTACACATTGTGAACGAAATAAAATGTAAACAAAACCTGGCATTTGCGCTACATGTCTGTCCAACCGTAATTCACCTCTTTCATAGTAAATACACCCACCCTTATTATATATATCATTTTATTCAGGGGAAACAGGGCTTTCATTTAATATCAAATATTTAGCTATGAAACATAATTTAATATGAAAAACATTGGAGAAAATAAGATTTTTTTTTTTTTTAGTTCTACATGACATTTTAACTGTCAATGTCTTAATACTGTTTGTTTTTACTGCAGTAAAATACACATATTTATATTTAGTCTCACGTGTAAAACAGTACCCCCTATATACAGGTTTTAAGGCGTTTTGGGAAGTTACAGTGTCAAATATAGCACGTTACATTTGAAATTGAAATTTGCCAGATTGGTTACGTTGCCTTTGGGACTTTATAGTAGCCCAGGAATGAAATTTACACCCATAATGGCATACCATTTGCAATAGTAGACAACCCAAGATATTGCAAATGGGGTATGTCCAGTCTTTTTTAGTAGCCATTTGGTCACAAACACCATTACTTGAATGGCGCTCAGAGCACACACATACAGTTCAATTGCCATGGAGCCAAAGTCTTTCCCATAGTCTTTCATTATACGAATGGGCTCCATGGCATAGCTATCTGGGCTATCACTGCTCAAACAGGGCAAGCACCAAATGACCCGGCTTTCTTGTCTTTGCAGGGGAAAATCAAGCCTTTTAACATGGGGCCATAATCCAAAGGCAACAGGCGAGCAACCAGGCTTCTCCAATGCGATGTGGCGAGATTGCTCGTCACATTTGTATTTGGAGTATGCGGATTCTGAAAATCAGCAAAGTATGCATCACATTCACGTTTTATGTGAATGTGATGCATACTTTTCAAGTTATGAATAATGTGGAAAAATTTTATTTCTCTGCTTGTTATAATTGCATTACCCATTGTGTAAGGTAATTAAATCACATGCAGAGGGGAGGATTTTGTGTGGGAGTGTCTGAGTGTATTGTATGTGTTTAATGGTTGTGTTCCAAAACCCTGTGGGTGGTATAATGTGTAAGAATGTGTACATAAGGACAATAAACCCACAACTCTGTCTGTTCACTGCTTGACCCTCAACACGGAGCTTTGTCTCGTTCTTGGGGGGATTTATTGTATGCTGTTCCAGTTCGACTGCTAGGAGTGTAAACCTATTCGTATGGTTTTTCCTGTTCGGCTGTTTACGGCATTCATTTGGTTTCCTGTTCGGCGGATTGGTGTTCTGCAGTAGCTGTGCCTGTGTCTCTGGAAGGGGAAGATCTCCTAAACGGCGGTTTAACCCTTTTATGCTGAGGGTGCCGTTACAGGGATGTATGTTTTTTAGGGTACTTTTGGTGTGTTTTGAAAAAGTATGTTTTATCTGTGCTTGGAGATAATTGGATTAGAATTAGTACAGTCACTGATCCAATTATCTCCTAGACAGAGGGGAGGGATTGTGTGCTGTGTGTGGGAGTGTCGTGCCTTGTAACCTTATTGTTATTGGTCTGTGAAGGTCATTGTCATTCCTGGGCTACCATTTGGTCTCAAAGGCAACATAACCAGTCTGGCAAGTTTCAATGTGTATAAACTGAAAAATGTAATGTGCCAAATTTGACCCTGTAACTTTCCAATAACACCATAAAACCTGTTTTACCTGTGAGACATCGCTGAATACAAATATGTGTATATTATTGCAGTAACAGCTTGGGGTACATCCAAACTTTGGGGAAAAATATGTTCATTTTAATTATGGTATGTGGTTATCTAAGGGGAGGAGATGTATGGAATGTATATTGTGTTTATTGGCTGTACTGTTAATTATGTGGGTGTCTCCCTTGCATGGGCAGAATCACATAAAAGAGAGTGTCTGTCATTAAAGCTTTAGTTCTGCTTGACCCTTCAAAACGTAGCCTTGTCACGTTTTTGAAAGGGAGATTTTGCAGAATAATCACTAAGCTCTTTTCAGACCTGTACCTGACTTCTACCTTGGATCCAGCAGAGGGGAATAAGCAGCTCCATCACTATACAGCGACTTGCCGGGAAGAAAAGGATGTCCCCAACGGCTGATACCCTCACTATAGCTGGGTAGCTGTTACAATATGTCTTTAACCCTCAAGTATAGAAAGAAATCCTTACCTGACAGGCAGGGCCGCCATCAGGGGGTGACAACCATGACACGTGGAGCGGCGAAACTGCCGCAGGTGCATCTGCACCGGGGGGCCCATCAGGTGGCCCAAGCATTTAGGGCCACCCGATGAGCCCTATATCTTCAGTTGCCCGGTCAGTGCTGCGGCCGTGTAATAGCGCGACCGGGCCCCTTTAAAAGAAATTGCGTCTACACCGCAAGTGCTGCTGGGAGGAAGTGACGGCTGGTTACTTACCCCCGAGCTTACGTCGCGCGGGGAGGAGAGGGAGAGTAGAGGACAGGACAGGAGAGGCATTCGCTCCCATCATCCTCAGCCACCCTCCTGCAACTTAAAGGTAAGAGGAGGGTGGCTGATAAATGAGGTGTGTGTGTGTATGTATGTGTCTAAATGTATGTCTGTCAGTATGTGTATATGTCTCTCTGTGTGTATGTATATATCTATCAGTATGTATGTCAGTATGCATGGATGTCTGTGTATGCGTGTATGTCAGTATTCATGTATGTATATATGTCAGTATGCATTTATGTCTGTGTGTATGTATTTATCTATCAGTATGTATGTGTGTATGTATGTCAGTATGCATGTATGTCTGTGTGTATGCGTGTATGTCTGTGTGTATGTCAGTATGCCTATATCTATCAGTATGTATGCCAGTATGCATGTGTATGTATGTCTCTGTGTGTATGTCAGTATGGATATATGCCAGTATGCATGTATGTCTGTGTGTACGTATGTCAGTATGCATGTCTCTGTGTATGTATATATCTATCAGTATGTATGTCAGTATGCATGTATGTCTGTGTATATGTGTGTATGTACGTCTGTGTGTGTGTATGTATATATCTATCAGTATGTATGTATGTTTGTGTGTATGTCAGTGTGTGTGTGTGTGTGTGTATCAGTAAGTCTGTATGTATCTGTGTGTGTGTGTGTGTGTGTGTCTGTATGTGTGTCTGTATGTATGCATATCTGTTTGTATGTATGTCTGTATGTATGTGTGTCAGTATGTGAGTATGCATGTACGTCAGTGTGTGTGTCTGTATGTCAGTATTTGTGTGTAAATCTGTATCTCCTTATGCATGTGTATGTGTCTATATTTGTGTATAAAATAAGTTCTCATGCAAAAGAATTTGCAGAGAAATAGAGGGAAAAAGACCTAGCGAAAAAAGCTCTGAAACTGGGTAAAAAATAGGGATCCACCAAAAACCTATAGAGATAATGCATATAAAATATGCTAAACTAGAATAGCAGCAGTAGGAACCCAGGAGCTAATAAATAAGTGCCAATTAGACAGATATTACAAAATGACAAACTGGATATTTGATATGTAAATATTAAAAATATTGAACAATATGTAAATATGTTAAAAAAATTTATATAAATATAAATATATTATATGTAGATAATTGTGTGGCAAGATTATCTTGTAACCCAGGAAACAGTAGTCCCTGGGCAAAGGTAATTTATGCCAAATAATATACTTCCATTCACTATATTAGATGAACGATAAAATGACCAAATGACATAGATTCTTTAGGATATATAAACTGCCATCATGCAAAATATAATGTAAAATGTATATTTATAAGCAAAAACCAGTACAAAAAAAACGGCTGCTATAAGCAATGCAAAAAATATGGCCAAAGAAATCACTTATGAATAAAGGAGTCAATTTTATTGAAAATATAAAAAATATTGTTAAAAATAAGTTCACATTCGAAGCAATAGATAATAGAAGGTAAAATATGCACATAGGCACGGATGGATATGGATAGTAATCCCGATACAGTATCTGAATTCTGGTAGCCGGTGAGGAAGGTTTGCGTGTCACAGTGCGTTCCACCTCGAGCCTCACTTTGGGGGAACTGCACTGCTCATCGGATCGTACTGTTCCGACTCCTGCACTCCAAGCTGATCGCTGGACTGTTGTGCTGATACCTCTTTTCTCTATCGCTGTATGGACGTTCTGTGAACTTGGTTAACGCGTTTCGTAGGGGATAGCCCTACTTCCTCAGAGACATCTGTATTAGCCTCCTTATGGGAGTGCTTATATATCCCTCAATTGATAATTGATTAATAGATGCATTGCATTATATTCAATATTTTTAGGTACATTGCATTAGGTTGAAGTATATTAAGCGTATTACATACAGAAAATATATCTATACATGAATGGAAGTTCATATCAATAAAATACAATTAAAAGCTGTTCATACAATAAACATTGAGATAAGTAAAAATAGATTGAGAATAATAATGAATGGCAAAAGCATTGCTAAAAATATTTGCATAAATAAATACAAAACCAGATGGAGTTCTAGTAAAACTTCATTAATTGATTAACTTTAGATTTAATCTCAATAAAACTGTTACTATTTCATATAAAAACACTTATAGTGATGATTTTCTTCCTAATCACATATAATTCAAGGTGGTCTACACATTGTGTCAATGTTACATCCTGTTAACAGAACCATATAACAATTTGTATACATATTGATTCTTCTAATTTGGTTTAACACTTCATATATCTCAAATATTTGATACAAAGCCTGTCATTCCTTAAACACTTGATCGTTTATAGTGGAGAAAAATTGCTCAGTTGTATTTAATTCTGTTTTCTGTAACGAGACAAGAATATTAGTGAACATGTTATATTACATTTTTTTTTACATATTTACATATTTTTTTAATATTTACATATCAAATATCCAGTTTGTCATTTTGTAATATCTGTCTAATTGGCACTTATTTATTAGCTCCTGGGTTCCTCCTGCTGCTATTCTAGTGTAGCATACACAAATATAGCATATAAAATATGTCTGTTTCAGTATTTGTGTCTGTTAGTATGTGTGTTTTGTCCTGAAGCATGAATGTGGTGTGTCAAGAGTACCTTGGTGATTGTTATGTATTATGTGTATGGACATTGTGACGGAACACTGGCACTCCGACTGAGTACCTCCGCCAATCGATGCTCCTAGTGCTCGCTGAGGACTCCAAGCACTCCAACCGACACCATCAGCACTGCAAACCCCACTTCCAGCGATGCAACTGCGCCGGGGTCTCTGCTGTTTCCACCCACCCTGGACCCAAGGCCAGGATCCAGCTTCCAGTGGGTGAACCTCTCTTTCCCCAGAGAGCAGGAACAGGAACAAATCAAGCTATTGCAAGAGCTTCCTCTGGGGAGTAAGTGATTATAGCAATCCCCAGAGTGTAGGTATCCCTTCCCCAAACATGAGCCAAGGCTTAATGCTGGAACAAGACTGATTTACTGGCACACAGAACTCACAATTTATGCAACACAAAACTCCTCCTCTGGGCCAGGCTAGATAATTGAGTTGCTACAATACACAAAGCTCAATTATCTGCTGGCCAGATATAATACAGTTTCATAAAACACACAGGGACCCCAAAACATGCAATAACCCCATAAAAAGTATATCCTTGTAACCGGGGGATCTGGGTGAACCACATATCAAAATTCACCCAGATCCGTTCAGTACTTTGGAAAATACAGTTGAATGCAGATTCTGCAGAACATATACAGGCTAAATGAAAAACAATCACTGTATAATGTGTCCCCTGCTGTATAGTCCAAAACCACCGCACGATGTCTCTGTGCAACAAATACTGGCGAGATGGCACGGTGTTGAAAAGTCCACACAGTGTCTGTGAGTTAAAATGGCCGCCATCCATTGTTCTCACCATGTGCTTCTGATACAGGAAATGGTGGCCACCCAGTAACTCCACAGTATGTCGCCAGATGGTTCTTAAAGGGCCAGCAGCAGCACAACACAAATCCATTATGCCCAAATCATGTCTTTAAAGGGCAATACATCCCAGGGGCCATAGTCACAGGGCAAGAGACAGGCAAGCAGTCCTCTCCAGGCACAAGTGGCGAAGGGCACTTCGTCACACATCTTCCCTTTGGGGGGAAGACTAAACAGGTACCTGACCTTCTGCCGGTCAGTACCTAGATTAGTCGGGCAGCCCACCCACAAAGAAAAATACGCAGAGTAACCCCCCCACAATAAATGGTACTGGCCTGTAGGTTCAAGTTTGTAGTGGGACAGCGCAGCACTCTCGGTCTCCCTGGTGCAGCTAGGCAAACTGCTGGTGTTGCTTGGGGGCAGAGGCCAGCGGCGCTCTGCCCTGCTGCCAGCTCTTCCACTGGGGTAACCTGTGGTAAGTCAGGCTCTGATACAGGGGAAAAGGGGGGGCAGAGGCTAACAGAGCTCTGCCCAGATGCCAGCTCTTCTGCTGGGAGGGGGTCAGTGGGTATCGCAGGCTCATCCACTGCCCCCAGGACCCGGTTGGGATGTAGCTGGGGAGGGGAAGTTTCGCTTACCTCCTCCTCCTGGCATCCCTGCGGGGTTGGTTGTGGATCTGGACCGCCCGTCCAGCCTCCCTGTAGGACTGGCACAGAGACCGCGGTCCCATCTGTGCCAGTGTGGTTAGGTTTGTCTTCCCCCTCTCCCGGTATCTCTGGCTGCTGTTGGAGGGGGAGGCTGGTTGCCCCCACTCCCCAGGACGCTGGTTGCTGTAAGGTGGAGGGATCGACCATCACCTCCTCCTGGAACTCAGGTCGCCGCTGGGGAGAGAGACCAGTTGTCTCCCCTCCCTGTATATTATACTGCAGCTGGGGACCTGGGCTGAATGCCCAGCATCCCTGTAGGGCTGGCAGAGAGACTTCGGTCCCATCTCCATAGTTGTGGGGCTTAACATCTCCCCTTGGTGAGTTAGGCTGCCGCTGGAGAGAGGGTGTAACAAGCTCCTCTCTCTGAACTGTAGACTGCCGCTGGGGAGAGGGGGTAACCTGCTCCTCTCCCTGACACTCTCTTTGCTGGTGGAGAGGGGCACCAACTGTCTCCCCTTTCAATATTTTGTCCTGCGGCTGGGGTGCGAGACAGACGGTCTCTGCTTCCTGGGGTACACACTGCCGCTGGGGAGGAAGGACGACACCTTTGGCTCCCTGGGATACACACTGCCACTGGGAAGGAAGGATGGCACCTTCTGCTCCCTGGGGTACACACTGCCGCTGGGGAGGAAGGACGACACCTTCAGCTCTCTGGGATACACACTGCCGCTGGGGAGGGAGGACGGCACCTTCTGCTCCCTGGGACACCCACTGCCGCTGGGGAGGAAGGACGGCACCTTCTGCTCCCTGGGGTACACACTGCCGCTGGGGAGGAAGGACGACGCCTTCAGCTCCCTGGGATACA